TGAAAATAAAAAGTTCGGGATCAGACTTTCTTGAATGTTTACTAATTCTTCCGAATGACCTGTATACAAAACAATCATACTAGTACCTCGATTTGTTTTATAACACATCCAGTTTGACTATTCTGCGAAAATAAAAAGATAGAAATGTTAAATGTGTCGATAGTAAATAAGTAATTCTGTAATTTCAATGTACAAACTGAGCGATGTCTCTTTTGCTTGGATAATGAACCGTAACAGAAATTCACAAGGGTAATGTGAAGTTCGTATCGTTTTACATAACAGAAATCCCTTCACGTTCTTTGCATTTAAACTTCGCACCTATAGTAAAATATTCTAAAACTGGGAAAATATTCTTATATTTTCTTTTGCCCACCAACACGATTGGCATAACATATTACATGTTACAAAAAAAAGTGTATGTTAATATATTACTTTACGCTATAACGGCGCAACAATCGTGTTACGACGGATCTTAGAAGCTTCTGGAAACACACCAACGCCAAGTATTACATTTCATAGAAAGCAAAAGGATAGCCCACTTGATACAGAACTTAACTTAAACGAAAAAAAAAATGAATGTTGAATCATATGCTTCAAACGTAGAACACTTTAAAATATTCATCACAGGAGTAAAGAAGCAATGCTTAAATATTCTACTGTTGAACAGAAAATACTTAAACATGAGTTCACGATGTATTTACAGAACATCTTCACTTTACATACAAATCATTGAAATTTCTCTTTTTTAAATCACATATTTAATGTATAAACATTTCTTTCCAATATTTTATTTCTTTTAATCATGAATATTCAACGCTCTATGAGATGCAATGCAACAACATTTGTGTGATTTTGTTCTGTGCATCAATATTGTTACGCCTCCGGTCGTTCGTTAATTTTCCGTAAAAATTCTTACCGAAGAAACTTTATCGATACAAGTCCTTTCTTAAATAAAACTGGTTTATTTTTTCTGAATACAATTTTGCGATACACTTAATTTCAACAGTAGTTCTATAACAAACGCTATAATTCACAACGAACTTCTCACGTGCTCCCGATATTTCAGGAAGGGACGTGAACGTTCGAGAAGCCTGTGGCGTGATACTAGCGTCACGTGACTCCCGATGTCGTAACACTGCCCTTTTCTTAGTATTGTTCGTCCCGAACAATAGCCACTTACATGAAAC